TTTTTAAAAAAAGATTTATTCATTTTTAGTTGGAAAGTCAGATTTACAGAGAGAAGGAAAGACAGAAAGATCTTTCATTCCCTGGTTCACTCCCCAAGTGGCTACAATAGCCAGAGGTGAGCCGATCTGAAGCCAGGAGCCTCCTCTGTCTCCACATGGTTGCAGGGTCCCAAGGCTTTGGGCCATCCTCCAATGCTTTCCCAGGCCACAAGCAGGGAACTGTATGGGAAGTGGAGCAGCTGGGATATGAACCGGCACCCATATGGGAGCCCAGGCGTGCAATGCGATGACTTTAGCCGCGAGGCTACTACATTGGGGCTGGTAAATTTTCTAGTTGCTGGTTCACTCCTCAAGGGGCCAGGGCTGGCCCAGGCCAAAGTCATGACCAAAGAAATGCTCTCTGGGTCTCCTGTGTCAGTGGCAGTAACCCAGTTACGTGGGCAATCTATTTTCCGTTGCCTTTCCAGGAGCATGAGTTAGGAGCTGGATCAGAAGTGGAGCAGGTAGGACTGGAACCACTGCCCATGTGGGGTGTGTTGCTGGTGGTGGCTGAACTTGCTAAGCCACAGGGAAGAGCATGCAGCAAGCTGGTATTACCTGAGGGTGAATCCAGGCCTGAGTTCGAGAATAACTGAAATGGTTTCCTTTATATTGCAGTCAATACAGAATAAGGTTTGGTGAAGGGAAAAAGAGGTGCATGTTTTAATGACATAAAAGTTAAAGTGCCTGGAGGTGATTTTCATATATTATCAGATTTCCCTTATAGTTACAAATGCATTCCTCAAGCAGAATTACTTCCTGTTACTTATAGAAGAAAAGCACAGGGTTGAGTTTAATGCAGGAGTTCTCTGGATATCTCCAACAAAGTGGGTACGTTTTTATCCTCTTTTCTATTTTCTCCATACATATTAATCACAGGAGTTATAAACTAATGGTTGCTATATTCTACTCTGGGAGATCAAATGTAATGATGCTTTGCTAAGGTATTATTTCTGATTAAATATATTGTAATTTTATTTAAAGTCAGAACCATTTGCTTGAGTTCATAAGCATAGTGATTAAATGTAAGAGCCAGGCCTATTAAGATGTTTCTGCACATCAGTGAGAAATCCCCAGGCTCCACATGCATCGGAAAGTTCTTTCCTATAGCTAAGAGTATAATCATTATGGCAAGACTTTGTCAGCATATCTCTTCCCAAACCTTAATTGTATCTTTTTATCATGCACTTTCTATGCGTAATAGCCATTAATGAATAGCTGGGCCAACTGTGTATAATGAGTGTTCTGCATTATTGAATATTCTTGGGCCTCTTAGGAGAGAAGCATCAGGAATCTCCCGTGCTTCTGATGTGACTGTGAGGGGCTTTGAAGTTTCATTGTTTGCTTTTTGCTTTGCAGAAGAGTCCATTTAACTGTATAAATTGCAATCAAATCTGTTAGCAGAAGTCTTTCCCTAGGGCAGGACCTGAGACATACCAACCCCTGAGGGGTAGGACCATGTTTCATTGACTGAAGGCAGCAGCGATTAAATTCAAAACAAAAACCTGAAGAAGGAATGAGTCCAAATTCATAATAAAGGTGAGTCTAGGATCTGTGAACTGAGTGTAGCCTAGACATTCATGATCGTTTACCTAAGGTAAATTCTTGTAAAAATGCTTTAGGTTAGACACCAAAATGATCCTTAGAGTGTCCCAAAATGGATCCATGGTTTGGTGATGGCATTCTTAATGAATATGGGAAACAATCAAGTATGTTATTGGTTTCATAAAAGTGACATGGGAGAAAGGGAATACTGGAATGCCTGAATTTGGGTCTTCTTACACATCTCTACTTGAATTAATATCCTTGATTTACCTGACATGCTTGTCAAGTTGCATTGTTGAATCATGTGTGTAGGTATGTTGATGGCCTGGGAAGATGGGCAAGGATCTATGGTTAGGAGAAGGAGAGTTCAGCTTCTGCAGACAACTAAAGCATTAAGTGCTGAGCACACAAGCATCATTAAGATTCCTGAAACTTGAAGCTGGGCAGCAAAGAGGTTTAGAGTGCTCCAAACCAAATCTTTGGAGTCTAAAAGTAGATACAGGTTAAGAATTAATTGCTTGAGCAAACCAAGGAGGCCTAGTGGCCTATTGGGTCAAGATATGGAAGAATGCCAATTCAAGTCTTGTCTGCTTCATTTCTGATCCAGCTGCCTGCTAATACACCTGGAAAAGCAATGGAAGATTGCCTGGATGGAGTTCCAGGCTGCTGTGGCCATTTGAAGAGTAAAATAGCAGGCTGAGGATTTTGCTGCTTCTTCCCATTTCCCTCTCTATTTTGTCCCCACTTCTCTGTCCACATCACTCTTTGAAAATAAGTCTTTGAAAAGAGAGCCTAAGCTAAGCAAACCAATGGAAATGTCAAAATGTAATCTGTTAGGATTTTGTGGGTTTTTTTGGGGGGGAGGTTGGGGGTTTAGTATTTTGTGGTGAAAAACTAGGTATGATTATTAGGAAAAAGATCTAGGTACAAAAATTCTAATGGAAGAAAATCAGATGGTAAAGGAAATACTGGAAAATAAAGCTGACAATGGGAATTTATAAATTATGCTGACTCCTTCCTATGGTTTGTATCATGAAAAGAAAATGGAATGCTAATAGTATCAAGACTCATTTAGGGCATGAAAGGCAGTATCTCATCCTTTAATTCTTTCTAGTATGACATTACTTTGCAAATTCATGCTTAAAGTAACCAGTTTATACTTTTGCTTGCAAGGGAAGGAAGGAAGAGAAGAGGAAAGGAGGGAAGGAAGGAAGGAGAGAATGAGAGAAATCTTCCATCTTCTATTCTACTTCACAAATGCTGGCAACATCCAGGGGTGAGTCTATCCAAATTTGCTTCATCTGTTCCTCCTGCTGTCTCTCAGGGTATATGTTAGCAGGAAGATGAATCAGAAGTGGAGGAACTCAGACTTGATCAAGGCACCTGATAGGGCACATGGGCACCCGAAGTCACATCTTAACTTCTGTGTCAAATGCCTCCCCCTATCCTTTTGAACAATTTACAGATTTCTGCGTCTCTAACTTCTGCTAATTTCTTTGGCTCAAAGATCTGATGTTATCTGCTTTTAAAATGTCAAGTCTAGCTCTTGGGTGTTGGGTTCTGCCATCTGTTAGCCTGATACTGATGTAATGTTTGAACATTTTCTGGTCTCCATCCTTTGCAGAGGCTGCTGTGTGACCTCTTCTTGCTGGGTGCTATGGTTAAAACAGGTCCACGATGTTAGACAATGAAATGCTCCTTGATATCTTCTCACTTTTACTTTTGATTTTACTGCAATTGTATTTACAATTCTTCCTTCCAAACGTGTGCCATACATGACAAGAATCTGACAAACATGAGGATAATTCAAGCAGAAAATGGAATTAAAAAGATGCTTATTGCTACAAAATTTTGAAGCAAATTATCCTTTTAAAAAGGTACTCAGATATAGGATGAGGGTGTCTCAGATGCTCTAAGGCTGTTACCGATTCTTAGTATACCAAATTAACAGCTTTAGCAATCAACTTACAATAGGATCTCTGTATTTTACAATGTTTGAGACCCTAACATGAATTTAGTAATTTTTCCCTGATTTTTCCATTGTGTAAAACACACTCACATTCAATGCAGTTACTATGTGCTGCAAGCACTGCGCATAAAGGTCATTTCATCCTCATGGCCACTGGATGGCCACACCTCATATTGACATATGAGAACACACCAGGAGCACTGATTAAAGAAGGAGCCACAAGAGTCATGGCTGTAGCCAGGATTCCATCTATCCTCACTGCATTTGACATATTTCCTATTTTCTGCTACTCCTGCTGAGGCTATTGTAGAATACTAAAGTACTTCACAGTACCTTCGGGGTGAGAGGGGAATGTCGGCGCAGGTATTTGCCAAATCTGGAATACAACAGAACAGCTGATTAACTCCTGCTTTCACTGGCAGAATGTGCCACGCTGACAGCCACTTACTGGGCTGGAAACATGAGGCCATACAACTTTCCAAGGGGAGGGGGACTGTGAATGGCCCCCAGTGTGGCTGGGGAGACTACATGCTATGACTCTTGAGAAATAATTATTGCATTAAAAGGGCATGCAGAATATTTTCCAGATTTCCTAACCACACAGGCTTCACCCAGCTTTGGCTGCAGAACTCAACATGTGTGGTTTGGCCATGAATGTGGAATCAATATCTTTTTCTACCATCCTGTGCTTCCCTTCCTGTTTCAAAAGTCTGTTCTGTGATTTGCTAGGAAGCTAATCATTTCAGTTGATAAATCTGTCAGAGAATCCCAGAGGCAATAACTTTGTAGCTTACTGTTGTGAGGGTCCCCCATATTGTGGTACTCAACAGCAGTGTTGGATTTGGGGATGTAAATGTTGCATGGTGGTTCCCTGGGAGGTTTTGGAGAAGACCATTTATCATCCTGCACAGGCAGACTGCCTACCTGCCAGGCCAGCCCAGGTGGCACCTCAGAGGTCTCTGAGGAGTACCAGGGCTAGAAGCTGTGGTGGAGGTAAATTTACTCAACTGCACACTGTGCCTCCCCTTCCCAGGACATGCCTACACAGTAGGGGCCATGGCAACATATGAGCCCATGTGGAGGCACCATGCTCAAGAAACTTTTATTAATGGAAAAGTGCCCAGGCAGGAAGATTTACTTGAGTTTTCCTTAAAAAACAGAGCAGCTTTAAAGCTCCACACAAGGCACTGATCCAATTAATAAAAGCATTAAGCACAGTGGCTGGTTTTGCAAAATTCTTTGAAAGGCCTAGGGTGAAGGAACTATGGAAAGAGTGCATCAGTGTAACTACCTTCTGTTGCTTTTGGTGATGGTGTTCCATTCCGGTTAGTTTTTTTTTTGGAGAGTGGGGTGAATAGGGTGGGGTTTCTCAACACACTATCACACAACCATCCCATGCTTCTGCAGACAGTAATTTATTCACAAAAGAAATGCACATCCAAGTGTATTAATAACCAACATTTTTGCTTTTATTAGAGCTGATACAGTTGTGAAAACTGTACATTATACATTTTGGTTTCAGGATTATAAATAAAGGAACTCACAGGTAGGGAGTTCTTTTTTCACAGCAAGAAACTTTAAATAAACAAAGTCATGTTTTATTAAGTACATTGGCAGACTTCAGGTGCTGTCCAAAATGTAGAGTACAGTATAACAACCCATTAGAAAGAGCCTTCATGTAAAATACAGCTGTGCACATTTTAGAAAAATACCAACAATTTGAGCTTTGTTTTAAAAAAGCTTATAAATCATACATATATTTATAAATGGAACCAACATGCTCACTTTATAAACATATCCTGTAGTTATCTATTACCCATTATTTCCAAAGCATTACATGTTTTAAATAAACACTTAATGAGATTAAATAGTTTTTTTTTCTTTAAAAAAAAAATCAGCTTTCCCAGCATAAGAAGCTAAAGGGGTTAGGCAGGAGCTGTGAGAGGACTGAGACGGACAGGGAACTGAAAGGTTTGTTCTTGGGTAAAAATGTACTTCCTAAATTGGAAAGTCAAAGCAAAATGTAAAAAACAAATATACAAGGTGTAATTTTTCATTTGCTTTTTCTGCCGCCTTCTGTATTCCGTATTGGTCACACCCAGGATTTTCAACATACTGCATTTCTGCGAGAAACGTCACTGGGTTACTACCTCGCAGGTGACAAAGCCTCCAGCCCACACCTGTGCTAACGTGGGCATCATGTGAGCTGTCTCCTCTGTATTGAGAAGGTAGCTAATAAGGTAAAAAGGATCGGGTTACACCATGCAAGTGACGACAGTATTTAGGAACAGCTCCCCCTCTGAAATGTAATGTCTTACAGAGATTTAACAGATCCCCTCCTCCCCTGATTTCTTTAAATAGTTTCTTTTATAAAGACCCTGTAGTTTCTCTAGGTAAGCATGCTTCTGAATAATAAAGGCTAAATTATAAAACACCAAAAAAAAAAAAACCTTCAGAATATGTCAGAACAAAAGACTGCAAAAGACAGATATTTAAAATAAAAATGCCTATGCCTTTAAAATTCGAAATGAAATTACAAAAGGACTTTGAAAAACATGAAAGGCAGAAAACCAAAAAGCAATGATTTCACAAAGGTCTATGCACTACCTGAATGTATTCAACAAAAACTGACGTTGGAAAAAAGAAGAGCAGTTATTAATAGCATCTTGCTTAACTTTCATGGGAATTAACATAGCCTCTGACAAGATTTTATTTGGTTGTAAAGTACGTCAGCAATGAAACTGAATCCTCTGAGCGCTGACTACTGCAGTCCATGCAACATTTTGACTGGACTTCTTACGAGTTCTGTTGTGTCTCAGCTTTGAAAATTTAGCACCTCCTAAGTGCATCAGTAATTCACCTCAGGTTTAAACAACTTAGATTATTTCTTTGGAAGGTATGATGCCTTCAAGTTGCTAAATTTTAAAGAGAAATAGCCTTCGATAGGTTTAGGAAGAACACATGACATGAGACATGATATATTGCTATCCAAGACAACACATAGTCACTAACATCTTGTTGTTGTTCTTTTCCTTGAGATGCGACGTGTGTGTCATCCGGCCAGGACCGCAGGTGGTGCGATGATTATTCATCAGATTTAAATCAACAGCATAAAAACGAACAGAGTCGTGCACAAGCAAACGAAACGTTCTCTCCCAGAACATTCCACAAGATGTTAAAGCAGCAGGTCATGGCATAAGACTGGTGAGTGATGCTGCTACCTATTTCTTCTAATGAGATAGGAGTGAATGTTGGAACCATGGCCACAGCAACACAATCCTCCGACCGCATTCCTCGGGCAGTCGTTTCCCCAGCTCCCTACTAAAAACGTCAGATGGTAAAATAGTAAGGCAGCTGTTGACTTCCATCAAAAAAAAAAAAATGCAGCTCCATACATTTCCAGTTTAGTCACACTCTGCTAAGACAGATGGAGTAGCCAATGCCAAGAACGTCGCTGGATGAGGCTGCTTCGGCAGATTTTAAAAAAGAATTATTATTATGTTTTGCTCTCCAAAATGGCTGCGTGCTTCAGCTCCCAGAGGACCCCAGGGGAAATGGACAGGTCCCCTGGCTGAATTTTCCAAGTTTCATCTCTCTGGCGATCCCATTCTAATTCCAAGCCTCCTTCCCTGTGTCTGAGTCTGCCTGGGGTGTGCCATTTAAAGGGCTGGCGACAGCACGGCAGGGAACTGTGGGCTACCACCACTAGTTGTCATGACTGCACTGAAGGGTCAAAACAGTTAGACATTAAGTAACTATGTTGAATCACATTCAGGCACAGCCAAAATTAAAGTGAAGGACAATATGTCATTGTTAAATACTGAATTCAAATACGAATAAATAATTTGACAGTGATGTGATACAGAAATTAAGGTTGTTCTTACCTTTCCTAATTTCGATCAGGTTAGAAAGTGAACAAAAAGAATGGCCAAGCCTATATTCAACAGCATGACGAGGACAATCATGACTGAATTAGGGCCCTGGAAGTGAAAAACAAAGGTAAGCATCACTTTCCATGAGAACATCAACAGGTTACCAAAACCGATACAGAAACATGAAGAAAACCAGCCTGGCTGTGGCAAGGCAGGCGTGAATGACAACAGCAGTTTGGAAAGGTATAAGCTACAAATACCAATGCAATGTTTAGATGAAACTATGCCTGAACTTGCAGTTAAAAATGAGTCCTGCCCTGACTCAGGGTAAAATGTTGACAATAACCCTCTCCATTTGGCCCAGAACAAGGAGGTCACGATTTGGTGAAGGCGTCTGGCCCCATGACCCTGCTTGGAACCAATGAGGAGTAGAGTCGCATTTTGCTGTTAGGATGTGAGCATCTAATTGAAGGGAACTGGGACAGAACAGTGACATGCATTCTCCAAGGGAAAACTCAGAATGTGATCTGCTGATCCTCTCTCCTGGATTCTACTGTTTTTAAAGTAAAAGCGTGAGGGGAAGCCAAATACTTTCAGCAGTTATTTCACAGGTATGGCATTCGTCACAACCACAGCATCTCAAAAAACGTATTAAATAAACTGCAGAATCCTATTTTGATGAATATCACTCGGCCAAATACGAGCTAGCCACAAGGTTCACAAGCCTCTTGGACTTGTGGCTCAAATGACACATCTTTTCAGATCCAGCCTTTGTAAGCGATAAAATTTTGGTATTTACCAGCAAGAGTGTCTAAGTCTTACATAGCCTTCAAAGCATTCTAGATTGGTTTTAAAGCCAGGCAGTGGGCTAAACCTAAGCAGATTACTTCTTGTTTGCTTCTTCCATGTGACTGCCACTTCCATTTCGCAGGGCCTCAAGAGTATATTGCCCAAGGTTACTCCAACAATATTGTCAAATCAGAATCAGAGCTTGCTCTATTTCAGAAGCTCCTGGCTGTTTTCTCTCGATTCCTGCTGAAGCCACGGGCCATCCTCAGTTTAAAAACAATTTTCAATAGACTTCTTTAAAATATTTTCATCTACACTTGGGAAATTTCCATTGATAACAACCAGCTGGTGCTTTAGAACAGCTATGTTCTAAATTAATAGGAGGGGAAAAAAGTTAAAAAAAATTAATAGGAGATGCCTAACTCATGCAACTCCCCAATTATGGCTAACTTAAAAATACTGTAGGAAGTTATAATTCAGAAAATGATGATCTTTCAAAATCACAATTCACAGATATTAAAGATATGCCATTACCATGCCATGTTGATTAGATTTTGTTCATGTTAAGCATTTGGTATTGTTTGAACTCTTTAAGACCAGTACATTTCATCATAATTCTCAAGGTTAATTTAGTGATATAAAAGATGAGAAACAGTATATGGGATTGGAACAATACAGTGTAAAGTTCAGTGTCTTATGCTGGACCCATGAAAAGCAAGACAGGTGCCTTTAGCCAACCTCATTTAACTTGCAGTACATAAATCCTAATCAGATTCTGTGAATTTATCTCTTTCAAACTGGTTGGTTCAAACAATACCAAATGCTTAGTATATCTTCTTGGGTTACATTTAGCTTTCTTTTTCCAGTTTTGGCCTGTCTCATTGTACTGGTAATTCTGGAGTCCATGAATAATGAATGAATGCTTTATCCAGAATGAAAAAAAAATGTTTTCTATTGAACACATCCATATATATATATTTATCCTACCCTGTAGTTCAATGAACAAAGCTATTTTAGCAGACGACTCAGTGCAGATGAGAGTAAACCAGCCATGAAAAGTTAAGCAGTAGCCAGGTAAACAACACAAATGTGAGTTGTTATGTTTAACGGGCTTCTATCTAGCCAGGACCTCTGTGTTCTTCAGACACCTGGGCAGAGTGCAGGGTCAAATGTTTTAAGGTGAAGTCTAATAAATATGCTGCAGTGGCGAGTTGTGGCTTAAAATAGCAAAACGAAAAAAAAATCAGTCTTGCTTCTCAAGACTGACTGAGACAGGTGTTACAGGAGAGGCTGTTGCGAGGCGAAGTATTCTTACAAGGTCTTGAAAAGAGGATACTTGCAGGTAGCTAGAAAAGTAATCTTTTGTTGTCAATGAGACTAATCCTCAACTGTTAAGACTTTTTGCTAGAGTTTTGTGTCTGAAACTCGACTGTATTTAACCTAGTCTAGAAAAGAACAAGGTTTAATTTAGTATTAATAAAACTGTTTAGCTGAAATACTGTTTCTGGCTCTTACCAGGGTGGCCATGTTGCAAAGCTTTACTAAAATTTGGGGGTCAGTACTGTTACACAGGGGCATGTGAAGGAGTGGCTTGTGATGCTGGCATCCCATATTAGAGTACCAGTTCAAGTTCTGCTGCTCTGCTTCCAATTCAGTTCCCTACTAGTGTACCTGGGAAGGTGACCCAAGTGTTTGTGCACCTGCCGCTCACCCAGGAGACCCAGATGGAGTTCCAGGCTCCTGGGTTTGGCAAAAACTAGCTTCAGTCATTGCAGCTATTTAGGGAGTGAACCAGTGGATGAGACCTTCAGTCAGTTGGTTCACTGGGCCAGGACAAAACCAGTAGTCAGGTGCTTCATCCACATGGGAGCAGGGACCCAAGTACTGGGGCCAACTTCCGCTGCTTTCCCAGGCCAGTAGTTGGGAAGAGGGGAGGGTCCAGATTGGAAGTGGAGCAGACAGGACTTGAACTGGCACACACATGGGATGCCAGCATTGCTTTACCTGTTCCACCAGAATGCTGGCATCTTTCACAAACTTTTGGGGGCCACCAGGTTTGTATGTGAGATCTTATTAACCTGTAGATATATTCAAGGCCTTCAAGTTCTTGCAAAATTTGAATATCCTTTAGTTTCCATTTTTCCAAAAGCTTTTTGAAGCAACCTGCACATGCTAAGTCAGAGGAGAAGCAAATTTAAGTCACTATGTTTTGAAAACCATTTATTGGAACCAGTGTTGTGGTGTAGGTGTAAAGATGCCACCTATGATGTCAGCATCCCATACAGGTGCCAGTTCAAGTCCCAGCTGCTCCACTTCTGATCCAGCTCTCTACTAATGTGCCTGGGAAATCAGTGGAGCATGGGCCAAAGTGCTTGGACTCTAGTCAGCTACATGGGCCATAAGAAAGAAATTCCTGGTTTCTTAGACCTGTCCCATCACTAGCTAATGTGGCCATCTGGGAAATGAGCCAGAGGATGGAAGATCTTCCAAACATTTTTTTAATTTCATTTATTTGAAAGAGTTAATCTCCATGGAGGCTGAGTTTCAGAAAAAATTAAACTATGTCAATTTCCTTTCTAAAACATTGGGTTGTTTTCTCTCCCGAATTATCAAACAGTGTTTATCAATTTCAAACATAATTAAAAGGTGTTTTGACTGTTTAATTTTATGAATGGAAACTTATGGTTGTACTTCATTCTTGTTCAAATAACCTATACCATTATGCATGTAGAGGGAAACTTTTGCAGCTATCAGAGAACTGTCAGAGGTTGCCACGAAAAAGCCATCACAGGGGCCCGGTGGCATGGCCTTGTGGCTAAGGTCCTCACCTTGAGTGTGCTGGGATGCCATATGGGCGCCGGTTCTAATCCCAGCAGCTCGACTTCCCATCCAGCTCCCTGCTTGTGGCCTGGGAAAGCAGTCGAGGATGGCCCAATGCTTTGGGATCCTGCACATGTGTGGGAGACCCGGAAAAGTTTCCTGGCTCCTGGCTTTGGATCGGCACAGCATGGGCCGTTGCACTTGCTTGGGGAGTGAATCATCGGATGGAAAATCTTCCTCTCTGTCTCTCCTCTCTGTATATCTGACTCTGTAATAAAAATAAATCTTTAGCAAACCTGTGATGATTTTTTTTTAAGTGTGATGCCTGCCTATGTTAGCCAAGTCTTACCTACCTGAAGACTGTTTAAGGTAGGTGACTGAATGAAACAGGAACTACTGCCTCAAGATACCACTGGGTTATGCTCTTCTCTGAACAGCTCTGGGATCCCAGAGTTAGGCTGGCTGTCATCAAGCGGCCCAGTCACTCCCTACTGCTCCTTGACAGAATCTAAGGGAAGGAAGAAACAGAACACACAACGTACAGGACTTACTGAATTGGCTTCTTTTTCCATGGAAGGGTATGAATCATTCCTTGGATTCTTTGGTATAGCAAGTTCAGACTTCTTAGCTTTTGGCTCAGCTTTGCTTTCTTTGGCAACTTGTTTTGTCACAGATTTAGGGGGACTCCACTTGTTAGGTGATGGCTTGTGCACCAGTGCTGAGGAAGACTGGCTCGAACCACCCTCATCCTCTGCGTCTTCAGGAGGGTGCTGGGGGGCGTTCAGCTTCACGTAGTAGCCGTGATACTGAGAGTGCAATTCCCCATTACTAGGGTTGGGGACATGGTGGCGGCCAGAGTACTTGGGCTGGGGCACGTTGGCTCCTACCTCCTTTGTGGGAGCCTTTGACATCAAGGGCTTATTGACAACGGCTGGCACCTGCTCTTCAGCCACACTCCTTTTATCTTGATTGAGTCTCACCCCTGGGCCTGGGTTCTGCTTCTTCGCAGGTTTTGGGGGGGAAGGCTGCGGAGAGTGGCTGTGTTTGGGACTTGCTTCAGGAGACCTTGGCGGGGTGGTGCCTTTGCGATAGAAGTGAGGAGATTCCTTTGGTGTAGGTGGATTTGCTGGTACCTTTTCCTCGGGGTTTTCTTTAGCATCTACACCTTCCTGAAGTCTCTGTTTGATGTAGTCTGGGCCTGCAAAATCAGGAAGGTGATACAAATAAGGTATACAAGAAATAACTAAGGAGAGTTGCCAATTTTGCCAAGTTGACCAGGGCATATAGCATACCTGTTACAGGATCACACTATACCCCATTACTGTCATGTGTCTACTAAAACATTTTGAAAAGGTGTAAAAGTATGTTTTTACTAAGTTGATTTATCACTTTTTTCCTTTAAGATATTTGTAAGGTTTTGACTAAGAATGGGCACATTTAATCCTCCACACATCAGTGAAAAGACACTTTTAAGAGACTGCATATACCATTACTTACACTGTTTTGATAGCTCTAAAAGATAAACAGTTCTGACTTCCCTACCAATTAAACTGTTCCACCTACTTACAGAACATTGACATGAAATCTGGGTTGACAGTACAATAGTTGTCACACTAATTAATCAGCTCATATAATTAATACACAGAAAGCATACCTTTACAAATTACAATTTGACTAACCTGCATTTGAAAAGTTAGTGAGGTCGGAGAACACCTTGCCGATCACAGCCTTAACAATCCTTGGCCAAGTGATCATTAACATTTTCTAGCCACGAACGATTTGTGTTGCTTAGGTTTCACTCTACAAAACCACTTCCACGGAGTCCACGCACAGCTGGGAAAGCCTGGGCACTCTGAAGGCACTGATATTGAGACAGGCAGTTTCTTTGGCTCTATGTTCTCAGGATAGCCTGCCCCTCTTGTTTATACAGTTTAGGATTAGCTGATAACAATGATGTGTTTCTATAAATGGAAGACTTTTCATCTTTTAAAAGTGCATGGCCCAGGTGCATCATGACTACACAAGCAGTGAGCCCTAAAGAGACAGCATGCACATGGGAAGACGACCCAGGCCATGGGCTTATGGAGGCCTGTGGCTCAGGAAGGTATGGTGTGGGACCTGAGGCAGTGTGCCCGCCTAAGCATACCAGCCCCTCTCCAGTCATCAAGACACACATACCAAGGGTGCTTCCACTCCATCAGCCACGGCTCATCCAAAGGGGGAATTCAAGGTCACAGAGTAGCTGGTGGGAGGTGCTCTGAACATGGTCCTTTAGGTGTGCAGGGGAGAAACCATCCACCAGCTGCTTACATAGTGGACCAGCTGGAACTGGTCCTTCCTGGCCCCAATGCCACCTTTAACAAACTAACAGTATTTACAGAGGCTGAAAATTGGTTGTGTTTGACTCTTAAAAACACATTGCACATTTACAGCCTTGGTTACTTTTCCCCTGGTGATCCAAGTATTAAGGTATTGTAATGAGGCTGCTATTTCTTTTTCAGAGTACTTCTCAGCACTTAGAGCCTAACCCAAACCTTAGGCAGCAGGCATTGGTTACACCTGCAAAACCCAACAGTCCCAGAGCTCCCAAGTAGCCTTTCAGATAAAATGAACCTCAACATCCAAGACGGTATCTAAGCCAGAAAGGGGAGGTTCTGAAGAGCTGTTCTTGTGGGCTGAGGTTAATCTCAGTGTCCCGAACATGCCAGCAGTGTCACAATTTCACTCCTCCAGATGATAAATCCATGACATGGACTCAGGTCTGTCAAGGTTGTATGCCAACAAAGGAGATTTCCTTGCTAAGCCTGGTAAATGCTCCATTTTTAAAGCTGGCAACTTCCTTTTGAATCCTCCATTAAAAGAGGGCAGTGGCAAGTCTTGGGCCACTGAAAGATATTTAACTGGAAGAGGATGAAGAAGGTGACTGTCCATTCAAAGGCTGATCCCTTTCTCTTTTCTGAATCCTTTGCTGGTGTATGGGACCAGACATGACATTGACAAACAGCACCACAAGCACAACAAAGTTAGGTTCCTCCATCAGCTGACTTGCCTCTACTTCTGAACCTTTTTCTTCTAAGGGCCATTTGGGTATTCATAACATCATTTATAGCCATTTGGCTATTGATAAATTATTCATGGGTCAAACAAAACGATCAACTAAAAAATTAGCCTGCTATTATAGATTCATTAAATTTTGACTCATTCCCGATGTTGATTTGGCAGGACTAGACCAAATGACTTCAACAGATGGATGTTCCCTACCCCTGCCATAAAGTCATGTATGGTGGATTCTCAAGGAGAAGCCCATTGTTAAAGCCTTCTTCAGAAAAACTACAAATGGCTAATCCACTAAGAAATATCACTAGCCATCAGGGAAAAGCACAAAGCCACAATGAAGCATCACCCTCACTCCTGTCAAAGTGGCTAACACCCAGAACACAGTCATAGCTGCTGGTGAGGATGCTGTACACAGTGCTAGTGGGAATGTAAATTAGGGCAGCCACTGTGAGAAACAGCATGGAGGTTCCTTAAACAGCTAGAATTGGAACTGCCGTATGATCCCACAATCTTACTCCTGGGATTTTTGTCCAGAAGACATGAACTGTATCAAAGAGATACCTGTACCATCAAGTTCATAGCTGCGCTGTTTATCATAGCCAAGCTAAGGAATCAACCAATGTGTCCATTGCCATATGAATGAAGACAATGTAGAATATAACACAACAGAATACTACTCGGCTATAAAAAGGTAAAATGTTGTCATTTGCAGCAAGCTCGGTGGAATTAGAGGACATCACAATGAGTGAAATCAGCCAGACACAGAAACAAATACAACAGATTCTCCCTTGATTTTTCAAGTGAAACTTTAAGAAACAAGAGCCAAACAACTCAATTTGAACATAGAATGCGGATTACTAGAGGCGTGAGACAGATAAGTTTTTGAATTAAAAAAAAAGTAGGCAATTTGGAATGTGGCTGATTAACTGACAAAGATACTAACATGGGATGCTAATGCGGAGTACCAGGAAACTCTTTGCTTTACTATCTCACAACTTTTGTATTGTAAATTTAAAACTACTCAGAAGTAAAGTGCTAAGAAAGCCATCTCCTTCTCTTCTGTGATCAAGTATTTCTTGGAGGCTGGTGCAGTGTGAGTTGCTTGCACACTTTCTCTTCACTCCTCCATGAACGTTTCACTGTAGCTGGTTTATCTGTGCTCCATCATTACTCAATTTTATAGCAGTACTGAACTACCCGGCTAGGTATGGCAGTGCATGTACTCTGCAAGGACGATTAAAATTAGTTAAGACTCTTGAGCTCACGGGGTCTAAAGTACATCATACTGAGTTGATCATACAGAGTACTTGTACTGTTTTAATTGAATGGATTGGCATGAAAGTTCCTTCCCCCATACTCAAATGCTGATCTGAAGAGCAAAGTACATTAAAAGTGATTGTTTCACCTAAATACATATATAGGAAAGTGTGTAAAGAACTAACAGACTCTGCCAACTTTTAGTTATACCTTAGGGTAGCAGGGCAAGGTCATGAGTGTCTGAGTCCCAAGAAATAAAGCTGGGCTAAAGCCTGTGTGTTTCTGAAGATGTGAGGCGGATGGTGCCGCTTAAACATCTCTGATGTACCCTGCTGTCTTTGCATCCCACCTGCAGCTGCTGCAGAAATGGGAGTTGCTTTGATAGATTCCAACAAGCATGACAGTTTCCAGCAAAGGAAGGGAAAGAGACTGGTGATGCATCCATACTTATAAGAGGCCATTTCTTAGGGGGACCCTAGCAGGACCATGAAAAAGCTTTCTGATGACAGCATGTATGGGGGTTGCTGGTATTTGAAAAAAATGCAAAGGCTATAATGCTTATAAAATAAAACACTTTCAACTGCTTTTTGTAAACAGTTGAAAGAATGGCTCCCTCTCCACTGAAACTATCATGAATAGGCAAATATGAGAATAATTTGCTGGTGGAGGAGTTTGTATTAATGGATTTACAAAGGTAAATTTTAGTTTTCATTGAATGTAGTTCTTTTATGCTTATTAACTCTCAAATACCAGCCCATTTATTTTTAACCTCTAGAAATATAAAGTTATCACTACTTTTTGATTATGTATGCCACTCTGAAATTGTTTTGAGAGAGAGACTCCGGAGACAAGAAGAAGGTGGGAGTGGGTATGGATGGGTAAGAGTATACAAGCAAGGGAAGGCAACCCCATTTGCTGTTCCCCATGTGCCAGCTATCGGCCTGAAGTTGGGAACTCAATCTAGGACTCCTATGTGGTTGGCAGATTCAGTTACTTGAGCCATCCCCACTATTTCCCAGGACTCAAATTAACAGAAAAAAAGCTGGAACTGGGAACAGAGCAGGGATCAAATCCAGGCATTTCAATAGGTGACAATACACGAAGCAGGTGCCTCAACCACAAGGCTAAATGCCTGACTCTTAAGCCCACTCTGTCAAGATACGCTCTTCTCTTACAGTTGCCTAGACTGAACTGGAGGGCTTCTGATGACACTCAAAACCCGTGAAACTACGGGAATTTAACAGTGGAAGCAGTGACTTCTACACTGACTATCAGATTGGGGTATTGTTCTGAGAGGTTTTCACACAAGAGGTACAAAGCAAAGCCTGGAAATCTTCATGCCCACCAAATGCTCCCAGTGAGTCTAGCAGACCCAGTCACAGGTGTCTGAAAGTGTGCACAGTGGTCAGGTGGTGACTAAACATGGACCTGATGCCAGACTTACCTGAGGACGGCAGCTGGAAGTGGCTCTGAGCAGCTGGAAGTGGCTCTGAGCAGGCACAGGCACATGCCGGCTGAGCAGCCCAAGAGCATACAGAGCCAGATTCTCTCGAGCAAGAGTCAGTACTCTTTAACATAAAACAGAGGACAGAAGTGCTTCCTGGATGGTTTTCTCTCAGAGGGCATGCACTGTGCTTGCCACTTATTCTACATAGCAACATGTGGCACTGTTGCAGTGCCAGTGACATAAAGCTGATGAGATGCAGCAGTTTATAAAACAGTCCGGCCAGAACACTGCCAGGGAGAGAACTGTGACAAGTGAGAGGAGCTGCTGCAGCAGGGACTTTCCTGTGTTTTCACAGACGCTATCTCGGACTCCTCAAAGATTTTTCCCCATTTTGGGGATTTACTTTGGAAAGAAGCATATGAGGCACACAGTATGGA